CATGATGTCCATGTATATTACAAATAACTATGCTACTTAGATTACCTACTGTTTAGCCCTAGTCATCTCCATGAATCAAAATTTCTAATGTACTTAGTTTAGCATTATCTTAATTTGTGCAAATAAGAAAGAAGTTATGTATTCATCTAGTAAATTCCTGCTCATCTTTCATGGACAAATTTAAATGTCACTCCTTCTACTGCACTGTAGTATAGCCTTTTCTCTTTTTTTCCAGCCAGGATATTGACTTTGGCATCTGTCCTCCTGATATTTATCCATTTATTCTTTCCGTCCATTATCTGTGTTTTCATAATTCTACTGTATTTATTTATAAGACATAATCTCTAAACTCAAAGTGCTTATAATCCATCCAGTAGAGGAGCTGGAAAAAGCAGATCAGCAAGTATAACATAGTAAGATAAGAGCTGTGATATGTGGATGTAGAGGATCCCTATGAGTAGAGATGGAATATTGAAATCATGTTGTAGGCTATAGGGGGGAAGAGAGGAAATTTTGTAGAGGAGATGTTTACTCTGAGTTGTGAAGGCTGTGTAGGCTTAGGCAAGGTTGTGCATTCCAGATAGAGACGTGTTTATTCAGAGACGTGAAACTGAAAGACAGAAATAGGTCAGCCAGAGTTATGTGTCTACTTGAAGTAGAAGGTGCCTATGGAGAAGGGAAGAAAGAGGGCTGTGAAAAGAAGCTGAGCCCACATTCCAAAGACCTCTTTCTGCTCAGTCAAGAAGCTAGAATTTAAAACAGGCATGGTGACACATGCCTATGATCCTAGCAGCACTCAGGAGGGTGAGGCAGGCTTGCCACAAGTTTAAGGCCAGCCTGAACTACATAGCAAGACTCTGTCTGAGGGGAAAAAGAAGGAGAAGGAGGAGGAGGTGAAGGAGGAGGAGGAGGAAGAGGAGTTAGAATTTGATACTGGAAAGTTGTGAATTTGAAGGGTATAAAATCTGGATTTTAGAAAGAGATTTTTCTGGAAAATGAGATTGGAAGAAAGTGAAGTAGGCTATTTTTGCAATAGTCTAAGTAAAAAGAGAGGGCCCACACAGTATCAGTGGTGAAAAATAGAAGGAAGAGACAGTTTCAAGAGTAATTTAGGAAATCAAATTGACATGACATGGCAAGCTGATGAGATATGAAGCTTAAGAAAAATGAATCTCTAATGATTTCTGGCCTTTGGAGCATTACTTGATATTATGGTTTGTTGATTCTACAAGATCTATTTCCTCACTACAGTGTAATCTCTGATAAAATCATGCATTCTTCAGCTATAATGACCAATAATCTAGCATATAGTAGGAGTTTAACACTTGATTCCGGAATATTTTAACAAATGTTAAAGGAGAGCACTTTTGATGTAATTGCGTTCCCTGGGCAATTATTCATCAAAGTTCTTTAGTTGGGAAGTAACCAGGCTGCACACAGTACACACTAGGGAAATGGAACCAATACAACTTTTCCCATTTAAACTAATGGAGTGGGAGTGGGATTAAGGGTAGTTTCCAGAGCCACCCACAATTTGAATGTAATGCTTCCCTTGAGAATTACACTGTGAAAAATAGGAGCCATGAAAATGGAAATAAACTACAATTTTTGTCCCTTAGGTAGAAAATGCACTTCCATTTATAACAAGCATGACAGCTATTTGAAATTGACAGAACACATTCAGTTCTAGACCTAACTCCACGAGAAACATTTTTTAGCCGTCTCTTTGTGCTGTCATCTCCTGGCATAGAGTAATACACACGAAAAATACTCAGTACACATGAAAACACGCAGACAAACCCCAACCGTTTTATGACTAGGTTGCTCTTACTCTAACATTCCTAAGGCGGCAGTGTAAATCCTCCAAAATGCCAAATGCCTGTCCTTCATTGGTGATCTTTCCTTGTTCCCCAGCCTTTTGCTCTAGACTGAATATTGTGTTATTTTTGAGCTTCTCCTCCTTTCATTCTTTGTTTTATCTATTATTCTCTCCAATTCTTTGGTAGGAAGCAGAACTTCCTGATCGGAGAACAATGCATGAGATGGTTGCTCTCCTCCAGGTGTGGTCCTGTATGTCTATAATTCTAGCACTCTGGGGTGCTGAGGCAGGAAGATCACACACTAAAGTTCAGTCTGGGGAACTTGGTGATTTAGCAAGACCTTGTCTTAAAATAAAAAATTTTGAAAGGGTTATGAATGTAGCTTGTAGCTCATTGAGAAGCCCCTGGGCTCAATTCCCACTATCCCGCCCCCCCCCCCCAAAAGTTGTTCCCTATAGCGGAAAAAGATGCTATTTTTATTGTTACACCTTTACATTTTTAAATAGATCCCTTCTTCCTCCACTTACCTACCAAAAGCCAAGAATATACCTGCTTTATCATACTAAGCCTATGATATTGTGAAGTCTTCATTAGAATTCTGATTCAGATGACATTGGGAACCAGCAGGAACTGGGGAATTCCATCGTATTTAGAAATGAAGTTGGTTCTGGATCATCACCCAGTTATAAGATGAAACCCTCTTATGATAAAGGAGACAGGGCCTGTACACAAGGCTTTGACAAATCCAGTCTGAAGCTGACGCATGCTTTTAATTCAGATTGATTATTTACACTGATTTTATATTGCTTATGAATGATCCAGGTAGCTTCTAAAAATTTAATGCATGTATTGCTCTTAGAATAAAGTAGTTAATGATGACAAATACTAAGTGACCCGAATGCTGCTCAGTGCATTCCATGTCACTGACCCTGATTTAAATTCATATTTAAGAGAACCAACCCAACTTCAGAAGAGATTTCCAATTTCTCCTTCAGTGAATTTTATCTCATCAATCTAGGACTATACTATATGGACTTTTACTGGTTTCCCATACATGGATGTCAAACTTTTAACTAAAAAGCATATTTCAGTTTCACTTGGGTAAAAGGCATTGAAATTTATTATACTCTCAAAGGAGAACAAATATATCAACAATATTTAAACTTTTTATTTAAGAAAACACCAAAAGAACAGACAGTGAAGGATGTTGTATAGGGGTTTGGCTCCTTTTGTGAAAGATTTAATTATATCTGGTATTTAGAAAATAAAGCAAAAGAATAGTGTGGCAAATACATAGTTACAGTTAGTAAAATGATTTGGTCTATTCCAGAATGGAAAATTTCTTATAGCTATAAAACTAATAAGTAGAGTTTTCATGCATATAAAGGCATTTTAGGTAGTTCCAAGCCAGAAGTCAATTATAATATTAATTACAGTGGAAAATAAACCAATGACATTTCTATCTAAAATGATCAGTGATTAATTTCTATGGCCTTCATATAGTTACTGTAAACCTCTTATTAAAGACACATCATTGTGCCTTTCTCATTTGATATATGGGAAGAAATATTCCCATACCTATGCCCGTACCATGAAATACTTCATTTCTGTAAAATGTAACTTCTGATTGGAAACTAAGCTACAATGAATGACAGTACATTTGTTTCGTTAGACATTGCTTTAATTTATTTGCTTTCTTAAAAAAGAATAGCTGTGGGTTACTTCTAAGCATGACAGAGTCAGCTTTCCCAGAGGCAAATTCCTTTTCCTCGGGATATATCACCTGGGACTATATCCTCAAAATACGCAGAGCATAGTGAAGCATACAGAAAAATATAGTTGATAGCTTAGAAAATCATTTGATTTCCATTTTCCTCTGGGTTTGGGGATTTTTAAGCCTCTTTAAGTGCTTCTATCAGACAAAAGCCCTTAGTTTCCTTCAATACAAAAGAAAGCAGAAAGGGGCTGGGAATTTAGCTCAGTGACACCATGCCTGCCTCGCAAGCACAAGGTCCTGAGAAACCAGGTGTGCTTCCATCCATATTTTAATAAGTGTCACATTAGAATGCATATGATTATCATGGTGCAACTTAAGAAAGACTTTTAAAATTTTTTGTCAATTTTTAATTGTGATATAATACCATAACAAAATATTTACATCATAACCAATTGAATCCTTTAATTCAATTGTGTTCATTACATTCACATTATTGTGCAATCAATCATCAGAACACATTTCATTTTGTAAGATTGAAACTCTGTCCTACTAAAGAACTCATTTCTCCCTTGTCACAGTCACTGGGAGCCCATGGCCTCCTTTCTGCTTTTGAATCTATTACTTTCACTGTTCTGGGTACCTCAGATAAGTGGAATTATACAATATTCGTTCCACTTATAGTATCCTCAACTTTCATCCATGTTGCATTATAAGAAAGAATGTCCTGTTTAAGGCTTAAAATAAAATGCCATTTTGTTTATCCCTTCATTTGTTGATGGATGCTTGACTATTACAGATCATGGTACTATCAAATCAGTGTGGAAGTATATCAAGACCCTGTTTTCAATTCCCTGTGGAGTATTCCCAGATGTGGAATTGCTGGGTCATATACTAAATGTATTTCTAATTTTGTGAGGAAATGCCACACTGTTTTCTCGAGTAGCGGTACCACTTTACATTCCAGCAGCAGTTCACAGTGTTGTAATTTCTCCACATCCTGATAAACCTTTGTTACTTTCTAGTGTTTTGATCATAGCCATCCCAAAGGGCATGAAGGAGAAAGACCTTTTTAAAGCTTCAAAGCAAACCTGCTTTTTTTCTGCCCTCACTCATGATTTAAACTCTAAATCAAAATACAAAATTAGTTGAAGTGTTTGTGATTTAAATTGGATAACTCCAAAATACTTTGCCCTTTTGGTTTTCTTCTTTTTTAAAAACTACATTTTCTAAACCTGTGAGTTTGTTTGACAGAGCCAGATCTAATAAGTTTTTACAGAGTTTTTAAGAGGACAATAAATTCAAATGACCGAAAAGAAGGCTTTGTAATAAAAGCAATGCCAAATGCCAACTAACTAAATATGTACACAGTATTTATTTTAAGTGAATCACTTCGCTTGCTTTTTCTCAGATGCTATGTAAAATAATTTAATCAACCTATTCCCACTCTTTCCCCTTTTGGAAAGCTGTCTCAACTTCGAAACTTGACTGAGCTCCTTTGTGAATCAGAAACTTTCAACTCAATAGAGAAAGCCTGCTGGCTCTCTAATACGAGCTTTGGGAATCTGTGTGAAGACAGTGTGTTTCATCTGCAACTTCTTGAAGCAGCAGAGCTGGGCACTGACATCGCAACCAGCTTCCTGTACCATGACAATATTATATCTGAAAAACTGAGAAATTTGCTGACTGGAGACATAAACAAAATTAATTTGAATATGGATCGGTAAATTTTCCATTGTGTTCTTCCTTGGTGAAATATCTTCTCAAAATGTTGTTATGCTTCATTGAATTTCTTCTCTTCTGTTTTGCTCCAGGTTCCTGGAACAGGCATTGCAAATGAATTACTTGGAAAATATCACACAGTTAATACCAGCCATTGAGGCCTTGCTGCATGTCAATAACAGCGCAGACACTTCCGAGCAGCCAGGTGGTTCCCCATTCGTATTTTAAATGCTGTCATACTAGAACGCCTGTGATTCTCACGCTGCAGTTTAAGACAAGCTTTCCCAAAGGTCCCAACCAAATCCATTTTTCTATCTGTTCTTTCACGTGAGAAATCTGATTCTTTCAAGTACGGTTACTTGTTTAAAGCAAACACACAGCAAGCAAGCAGACACTGACACAGGGAAATTTGATTTCACAGCAAAAAGAGCTTCAAACTTTACCTAGTTACACTGTTCACCTTTTGTTTCTCTTATATATTAAAGCGTGTTGCATAGTTGGCTGCATGAGCAAGGACAACATTTCTTTGCTTCTGTGAGGATAATCTGACTAAAAAATAAAAAGATGCACTGCTGTCTGCAGAAATTTCAATTCAGAAATTTCTATTAGTATTCTGAGCATGATGCATCCTGCAATGTATTTCTTCTTTGCATAGAGCCTCAGTACTGAAAAGAAAAGCATTCCAAATTTTGGATAACAGACAGCCACCAAAGTACAAGGACACAAAGTCCAGGAATAAAGAGGTCATTTTGCATGAGTCATTCTTAATAAAAGAAATTGAAAGGCATTTGCAGAGTGGAGATTACAATCTGCTAAAATAAAATCAAAATATTGTTTACTGGACCTTAAGTGACCCAGATATGAAATAATTATAATGGCTGTCCTAAAAGAGTTTGGAGTTAAACATATTCCATTTAAAATGAGAGCCAGGTGTAGTGGCACATGCCTGTAATCCTAGCATTCAGGAAGCTGAGGCAGGAGGATCATGTGTTCCAGGCCAACTGGAACTATATAGTGAGACCCTATCTCAAAAAAACAAACAAAAAATTTATTTAAAATTGAGACAATTTTTGTGAAAACTTTATAAACTATGGCATGCTATGTAAAGTTAAGGAAAAACACTCTGGACCATTATGTTCCAAGTTTATCAAACCTTATCCCTAGTTGATAATATCATATAATCCCAGGTTAAAAAGTGTTTTGAATTGTGTGATGTTTTAAATCAAACAGACAGATATTTATTTAGTGCATTGTGTGATCAAAATCTATGAGGAATCCATATTTTCCTTGAATCAACCTTTAGTGCTAGACACCTTAGGAAAATTTACAACCCAGAGCAATCTGTTACCTTGAGTTAATGATTATCATAATAAGAACAAGTCTAAAAATCAGATAGAAATAGATCTTAAAGATGCAGAGTTTGCCAAAACTGAGAGACATCTGTCTGACAAGATGTATGTATTGCATATATTTTAGGCTAGAAGGTTTCTTTATGTTGCTATAACTAAATAAATAACATTATATTTGACATGTGGGTTTTGTGTGCATATTTTCTTGCAGATCAGTTAATAGAAATGTTTAAAAATGTTGATGAACTGAAAGAAGAACTGAAGAGAGCAACAGGGATGTCCAACACAAGTATCGACAAGTTGCTAGCTATCCCTATCCCAGATAACAGAGTGGAGGTGGGTGGTATGATTTGTGCTTACACAGTTTTTAGAAGTTAAATCTAGTTTAGCATTTGTTAAGTACTTGTCAGTAAATCACAGAGAAGTTGCATACGAATCTGGTAAGTTTTGCATGCAAATGGCAAAATTAGAGGCCCACCTGTGTTTTTTTCCATGTTTTTATTTATCCTTCTCCCTGCCGGCTTTGATCTCTCCTTTTCATTACTCCCCATGGCGTTCTTGAACATTTGATGCCATTTATAATTATATTCACTATCACAAACACAAGATCTGAGTTAAATTTGCACTTACTGTATGATATATAAGTCAAACTTCAGTAACCTAATTGAAGGGCATGGAAAATATCTGTCATTTGTTGTAAGTAAAATAAAAATGGATATGCATTTTTACTTTTCAAAGTCTGAATAAAAGACTTAGATGTGGTCAAGGGAATTATGGATAAATTTGTGATTTTAGTAAACATTGTGGGGTGTGCAAATGAATAATGTCATTTTCTCATATCCTGATAATAGGGTTTTCCAGTCAAAATATCTTATCTTTTATCCTTTTCTCGAGTCCATTGTCTGGAAATGTCATAAAAATTTTCCAAAAGAGTTGCAGAGCTCAAGGCCCCATCCATTCAAAACTTACATGTGATAGAATGTGTCATTTTTATTCTCTAATGTTAGATAAAGTTTATAAAAAGCCTTGAAGGCTTTCTTTGGAAGATATTTAAGTTTGTTCATGTCATTCTAATTGGTTCCCCCATATAAAAATTAACACTCCTTTGCTTTTACTTTTCTTTCTCTTGTGCTAGCAAATAATATCCATTTGCCTTTTTCTTTTGATCTTGCCTCTTGTTCATTTGGTCCTAAGATCTAATTTCAGCAATCAGGTGTTTGGCTTCTGAATAGCACGTTCATTTCAGAAAGAAAAAAAAAAAGGACAGTGTACATTCTTATTACTTTTAAAAGGAAAAAGGAAAGCTTCTACAATCTAGAATTTCATAAGCTTTTCTCATTATTTCTACCTGATGGTGAAGGACGGGCATCTTTCCATAGTCATACATATCTTCCCTTGCACACTTCAGAGGTACTTATATTGCTGTCTAGAATGGGTGACTCACATTATTGTATGATTCTGGGCTTTTAAAAATTTTGTTTGCATCTCTAGACCCACAGAGTATACTGTACAAGATTATAACTTTGAATGATTAGTGAGATGAAATGCAGTTTTAATTAGACAAAAGCAAAAAGTGAAAAGCAGCGTGAGTCTTAAGGTAGTCATTTTTCCAAACTTACTCTTGGTATCATCATTCACCCTGTTGTTCAAGCAAGAAATTTAGGATTCATCTTGGATCTCTCTGTTTCTTTTCTCCCTGTCTTATTTCTTAAGCTTTCGAGTGAACTGTGCATCCTCTAGTTTTATTAATAGTAACTAGTGCTTTAAAGTTACTTGATTCTTAATGTTGTACCTGAAAATTGAGACGACACAAAACTCCTCTCAAAGTAGACAGATAGTAATCAAATGATTCACAGCGAAAATATTTTTCTCCTTCCAATTTGTAGATTATTTCTCGAGTGTTCTGGTTGTATTCTTGTGATGCTAACAGCACCAACCCCAAACTGGAGGATGCGATGATGGAATTCTGCCGCCTGCCTCTCACAGAGAGGTCCCATCAGTCTTACCTCATTGGACTCACTCTTCTGCACTACTTGGACATTTACAGCTTCACGTACAAGGCAAGTTGCTGTTGGAGGGATATACTTGTATTCATAGTTCAGTATGAAAGTATTTAATTACACACATATGCTTCTAATACTGTGAGGGATAAGATCTATTTATACAGCTTTTGGAATGACAGCATTATTTTGGAACCAAATGGGACCTATATTAGAGATCATATATTGCAAATGTGCACATTTTATAGATAAAAATTATATTACTGCCTTATTAACTCTCAGTTTTTGTATCCAAGACCAGAAATTAAAATTAATACATTATTATTAAAGCATGTATAATCATTTTTATACTGAATAGGCATCAATTTGGTAAGAAAAAATAAATATTAAAAGGTAGTTTTCTCTAAGGTAAAAATAAATAGGATTTTTTCAGTGTTCTCAAAAACCAGTTTTTTGGTTTTTTGCAATAGATAGGTGCAGGCTAACATTACTTATCCAGTCGAACAAGATAAACGGTCTTTAGTAGGGTCCAGGGAAGTCAGCAATTTCTTCATTGCACTACATAGATGTTCTGTAAGTACCTGAAAGAAAAATATAAATGAGAAAATTAAACTTTTATGTTCACCCAAATCTATACTTGGGTCAAAAATATTTAAATGTTCTTAAAGATACTAAAAAATGGTTTTGTTCTCTTTAAAGTAGGGGGGGGACCCCAGAATTAGCAAGGCTGATACATGTTATTGAGATGTAATAGCCAAGGGGATGGGAATGATTTCCTTCTGTACTGAGTCTGCCATACAGAGAGCCAAGACCTTCTAACTGGTTCTCCTGCCTCCACATTTGATTCTTCACCCTGATCCCCTCAAGCAGCCAGAGCGATTCTTGTAAATTTAAGTCACATTATGTCAGCCCTCTCCTTAAAATTTCCAGTGATTTCCCACTTTATTAAAATAAGTCCCAAGTCCTACAAAGGCCCTGTGGTCTGCACATCACTGTATAATATCAATTCCTACTTGGCTACTGTCTGAGCCCATGGACCAAAGCCTCGCTATTGGTCTTTGCTCCACACTGAACTTCTGTTCTTGAAATACAACAAACCCCATCTACAAAACTCTCAAACCTGCAAATTTTTCTCTGCTCTATTTGTTCTCAATAACTCTTCAAAAATTATTTTGTTTTATTTTCATTTTTTTAATGTATTTTGTCAACCATTGGTAGTACATAAATTCCATAAGGGCTCCTTTGTTTACAAAAATTTTTCAGATGCCAAGATCAATGCCTGGACAAACTTCTCTTCCAGAATGCAGCTCACCAGCAAGAGAGATAAACACAAGGCTGTCTCTCCTGCTGAATCCTGTGCTTGCAGTGGGGGCCTTTGACTTCCTTGGACATCCCCAGGGCTTTTCCTCCTCAGAGACCTCACACTCCTTTCCACCTCTTCTTAGTTTCCCTTTTTTCTCCCTTCCTCTCCTTATTTTCCCAACAGAATGTTTTTCTCACCTTTTAGGATTCCGCCTCTAGTTTATTTCTCTAGTTTATTTTCACTTGTTTTTTTTTTATATTTAATTAAAGAATAACAATGTGTTTATGGCATACAATGTGGTTTTTTGTGTGTATAAAAAGTAAATTCAAGATAATTAGTACCATCACCTCACCTACTTACCACTTTTTGGAGGGGTGTGAATAACTAAAATCTACTCTTTCAGAAATTTTGAAATATACATTATTGTTTTAAATTACTTAAATTATTTTATTGGTACATTGTAGGTATACAACACAATTACATTTCTCACTGGGAATTGTACCTTTACATAATGCATCTTGGTTCTCATTTTTTTCCCCATTCCTAGCCTCCCTTCACACCCTCCACCTTCCCCATTTACAAAGACTTTATTTCCATTTTTTCCATTTCTCATTATTTTCCTTTCTCTTCTTTCCTTTCCCCTGCCCCTTCCCTTACCCCTACCCCTTTGGACCTTTTCTTCCTATTTTACATTACCAATTATTCATTCTAATCATTGGTACATTTTAGGTATACAATATAATGGCATTCATCATTGGAAATTTGCACCTTTACATACTCTCTCTTGGTTCTTATTTTTCACCCTTGCCCAGCCCTCCTTTCAACCCCTCCATTCCTCCCTATTTACAAAGACTTTGTTTCCATTTTCCGTTTTCTCATATTAATTCCATTCCCTTCTTTCCTTTCCCCTACCCCTCCCACTTTCCCTTCCCCTTTGCCCCTTGAAATATACATTATTATTAACAATGGTCACATGCTGTGCAATAGATCTTTAATATGTAGTCCTTCTAATTGAACTTGATACCTTTTTGCTGATGTATCTTTTTGTCCATCTCCTCCACCCAACCTGTGGTAACCACTCTTCTATTCTCTGTTTCCATGAGTTCAACTTTTTAAGAAGATAGATCATGGAATGTTCATTCTTCTGTGCCTGGCTTATTTCCTTTAGTATAATGTTCACCAGGTTTGTCTATGTTGTTGTAAATCATCTAATTTACTTTTACTTTTAAGGCTGAATAGCATTCCATTGTATACTTATGTATCACACTCTATTTAAGTCCTACTTATCTCTTCATGTTCCCCAATCTTTTGTTCATTGTCTTTTTTTTTTTTTTTTTTTTGGTACTGGGGTTTAAACTTGGGTCCTTGCGCTTGCAAGGCAGGCAGTGTAACCATTGAGCTAAATCCCCAGCCCCCTCATTGTCTTTTTTGATATCTGATCTTCCTATTAGAACACAGCTCCCTCCCCGTGCACAGGGATGATTTCAGCTTGTGCACCACTGTATGCCCATTGCCTCACCCAAGGTAGCAGGCACTCAGCTAATATTTGTTAAATTAACGAACCAATCAATGAATGGATAAGAGGATGAAATTACTTTAAAACTTTAAGATATTTTCAATGATTTTTTTTCCTGAAACAGGTAAGCATTATAGATTAAAATCACTAAACTTCATAAATCACTGAACTTTTTTTTACAGATCTTCTCTGACATTTAGGAACACTTTATATGATTTTAGAGTACAAGTATACTCAGACACGAAGCCTTATGTAATTGACATTTGCCTTCCTCACTTCTAAAATCATTTACTTTTGTAACCTTATTGAAGCATAATTTATATATTGTAAAATTCACTCATTTTAAGTGAACTACTTAATAATTTTTCAAATATTTTGTATTTTTAGTTGACACGTGATAACTTTACATATGTATAAGGTTCATTTAAATGTAATACATTGTACAGTGATCAAGTCAGTGTAATTGGCATCTTCATCACCTTAGACATTTACCATTCCTTTGTGTTGGGAGCATTCTACTAGCTATTTTGAAGTACTCAATTAATTGCTGTGAATCATAGTTGCTTGCTATGCAATAGAACATAAGAACTTGTTCCTCCTATCCAGTTGCACCCCTGTACCCATTAATCATTCTCTCTCCCTCTTCTCTTCCCTCGCAGCCTTTCCAGAGTATTCTCCATTGTCTGTTCTCTGTATTCTCACTATTCTCTATCCCTATGAATCAACATTTTAGCTCTCACAACTAAGTGAGAATATTTGGTATTTTCCATGTCTGCTTTGTTTCACTTGACATAATATCCATTTGCTGCAAATGACAGAATCTCATTCTTTTCACGGCTGTATAATATCCAACAGTGTGCATGTATACCATGTTTTCTTCTTCCATTCATCCGTTAATGGACACATAAATTAACTCTATACCTTGAATATTATGAATATCACTGCATTAAACATGCAATTCAGATGGTTCTTCAAGCTACTAATTTAATTTCTTTTGGATATATATCATGGAGTTAGATTACTGCATCATATGGTTGTTCTATTTCTAGGTTTTTGGGAATGTTCTGTACTATTTTCTGTAATGACTTACTTTCTTTTCTTGGTTTTTTTAAAACAGGGTCTTATTATGTAGTTCAGACTGGTCTTGAACTCACTATGTAGCCCAGGATGGCCTTGAATTTATGGAGATCTTCCTGCTTCAGCATCTTGAGTGCTGAGATTACAGGAGTGTCCCACCACACCTAGACTGACTATACTAAATTTATTCTCATAGCAATGTACAAGACTTCTCCTTTCTCTTCATCCTCACCAGCACTTTTATTTTGTCTTTTTGATAAAGTCATTCTAGCTGGGTTGAGATTATATCTCACTGTACTTTTTTGGGGGTACCGGGGATTGAACTTGGGTCCTTCTGCTTGCAAGGCAGGTGGCAGAACCACTGAGCTAAATCCCTTACCCCTTTCACTGTACTTTTGATTTCCATTTCCCTGTTGAACATTTTTTCATATATTTCTTGGTCATTTGTGTGTCTTCTGAGAAATGTGTATTCTGATCATTTGCCCATTTCTTAATCAGATTGGTTTTTTGCTGTTGAAATACGATGATTTTTATTACATGTATAAAAGTATGCAATTATTACCACAATCTAATTTTAGAACATTTCTATGACTCAGAAAAGAAACCTCTTGTTCATTTGCATTTACTTCTCTTTCCAATCTCTACCCCAGGCAACCTCTAATTCTGTCTGTAAAGATTTGTTTCTTTTGGACATTTCATATAAATTGAATTAATTATGCAATGTGGTCTCTGTGTATGGCTTCTTTCACTTAGTATAGTGCTTTTTACTTTCATACATGTAACATATCAGCATTTCATTTTTAATACTGCCAAATAGTATTGTATTTTAAAGATATATATTTTGTTTATCGTTTCTACTTTTTGTCTATTGTTAATAATTGTTCTATGACTATTCACATACAAATTTCTGTGTGAGCTGATATTTTCACTTCTTTTGGGTAAACATCTAGGAATGGGATGACTAGTAAATTTTTTTAACTATTTAATTAACTCTCAATATGTTTCCCAGAGTGGCTGTACCTTTATCATTCTTACCAACAATGCATAAGGGTTCCAGTTATTCCACATGAATCTTTTTTTTTTTTTTGGTACCGGGGATAGAACTTGCGATCTTGCGCTTGCAAGGCAGGTGGAGCAACCACTGGGCTAAATCCCCAGCCCAGAATCATTTACTTTTATTCTGTTTCTGTTAGGTGTTTTTCCCTAGGAAAGATCAAAAGCCAGTAGAAAAGATGTTTGAACTCTTCAGAAGGCTGAAAGAGATTCTCAATCAGATGGCTTCGGGAACACATCCGTTGCTAGACAAAATGAGATCCCTGAAACAAATGCACCTCTCCAGAAGTGCTCCATTAACACAGGTAGAAAAATCACCTGATAATGTTCTTGCTGATAATGTTCTCCTTGTCATACTATTTTCTTTAAGATTAGTCATAGCATATTCTGCTAACAATCTGGCACATTGAAAGAAATCACCTGGAAGAAAACTCTTCTATTCTGGCAACATTTTCTGCCATTTAAATTGGTGAAATTTATCATTCTGTATTTACATTTGAGATGCATGTCTTAAAAGAATTATAGAAAGTAGGATACTCCAGCATTATCATATTTTCTTTCTGTTTTGTTTTCAGCAGTATCTATAGCACATATCATGTTAATAAATCTCAGATTTTTGTCTCATAGGAAATGTACAGAAGCAACAGAATGAATACACCCCAAGGATCATTTAGTACCATCTCTCAAGCACTATGTTCACAAGGAATTACCACTGAATATTTAACTGCTATGCTGCCCTCTTCCCAGAAGCCAAAAGGCAACCACACCAAGGATTTCTTGACATATAAATTAAGTAAAAAGCAAGTTGCTGCAAAATATGGAATTCCCTTACATACTAGTGAGTATACTTCAAAATAAGTGTGATAATTATTCTCATTGACAATTAAGAACATTGCCTTAGCTTTTCATACTTTGTTTTAGCTTTTCATGATAAAAGAATTACTCATTTTCCCCAAGAATTAAAAGAGAAAATACTTACAGAGTACTTGCCACATGTCAAGCACGTTATTAACACATGCTTTCCTCTCTGCAGCCCTGTGAGGTACTACTATGTTCCATCTCAGTAAGAGAGAAAGAGGTTAAGTAACCTGACCAAGGTCATTCAACTTGGAAGTATCAGAGCTTTTATATGAACCCAGGCAATCTGCTGTAAAGACTGTCCTCTAAACCACAACACTATAGTCATGAATCATGTAATGCTAGGGATACGTTCTGAAAAATACATTGTTGGGTGATTTCACCATTGTGCAAACATCATAGAGTGTATATATACACACTAAGATGGCCACAACATCACTGGGTAACACGATCTTTTGGGACCACTATAATGTATGTGGTCAGTCATTGACCAAAATGTCCCTAAGCAGCACAAGTTTGTACTTTAGAATTTGTCACTCATAACTAGACATTCCTTGCCAGGAGATTACACAAAAACTTGCCTTAAATTTGTTTGGGTCAATATTTTTTCTCAACTTTCTAGCATTAGAAATTTATATCATATTTGGTAGATCTGCATGAATGAAACAGAACTATAAACATTTAGTTGCACGCCAAAGTTATTTATTTGATCTATAAACTTTGAGATGCAAAATGTGCTCAGTGGGGCTCTTTCAAATAATATATGGATATTTAGTATGGCAATTGGATTGACTCTTTCATCTTTTTATTTATTCAACAAACATTTATTAAGCAGTTTTTATATATCTGATACTATCCCACTAGTAGGTTTTTGCATAGTTTTAGAACATTAAAAGTCAGTGAAATGTGTCTGCTGGAAGCAACTCTGAAATATGATTTTCAATCTTTATGTCTGCTCTTCGTAAAATGCCATCATTTATTCTGGGATTGCTTCTTGGGTTTAACTTTCTCACTTAAAAAAAAATCTTACTATGGTTTCTTACTTTGATACCAGGCGCCTCACAGCTGTTTACAATATAGGAAGTGGTAAGGCATATGTTTTGAGTTCTGATGATAGTAATCTGTGTCAATTTACCATGAGGAAATAGATTTATAATGTACCTATTACATGATTTTTCTCCCACTTTATCTTTCCAGCACCATTTTGCTTCTCCCTTTATAAAGACATCATTAACATGCCCGCTGGACCTGTGATTTGGGCTTTCTTGAAACCAATGTTGTTGGGAAAGATTTTATATGCACCATACAACCCAGTCACAAAGGCCATCATGGAAAAGGTCTGACTGCTAGAACTCAATGTTTCTATTTTGAGTATTAAGATACTTTCTTAAAAATTCTCAACTTCCAAATTTATTTTAGCACACCCTGACTTCTTTATGTTTTACCTACTCTTATTATTCCTTTTGTCTTTTGAAATGGTTAATAATTCTCAACTTCTGCCTGGATGTGTGTAAGCAGTGTACAGTGGGTGATACTCCTTTGAAGAAAAATGAACCATGTCGACACTTAAGAATGTGATTAATTGAAACAAGACCATAGACTTTTTGATCAACCTCAAACAAGCAGCACTTTTTTTTTGGTACAGGGGATCAAACTCAGGACCCTGCGCTTGCAAGGCGGGCGGCAGAACCACTGAGCCAAACCCCCGGCCCCAAGCGGCACTTTTAAAAACTTGTATCTAACTTTCAATGTGTACAAAAATAATCACACTAGAAAAAATATTGGGTTATTGTATATGTAATTTGAACAAAAGCAATTCTTAAAGTATAGACTCTGGGCTTCATATTTGGTTGTATAACTTCATATTTCATACTTCTATAGAAGATGTTGAGAAAGGCATTATTAATAATAACCACACTTTTCATCTACCTCATTTAACATAATAGCATTTCCCTTTCCCTTTTAAAATTGGCTTTAATAATTTGAATTATAAATGTAATACATTTAAAATGATAGAATGAAAGTGAAAAAAACTGCTGCGCTGCTACTCGGTCATTCAACTAGGTTCATTGAATAAAATATTAGTTTTAGGTCTGTGTAAATAATGAACAGGAGGTCAGGGCTGAGAGGCTTTTGCTTTTATTGTTCATAATTTAATATCTTATTTGCTTTGTTTTCTGTATACTTCCATAAAATTTTACATAAACGAAGTCATACACATGCTTATTTTCTAAGTATAGCTTTGTCCCTTATCTGTTTAGTCCTCACCTCGTTTCTCCTCTTTGATTTTACTCCTCTCTTACAATAAACTTAATGTATGTTAGTATTCACATATTTCTATAATTCATTCATATTCCTTTCTTTATTCATTATTGTGCTACATATACATTCAAATACATGTTCTTTGGTCATTTTTTACATTATTAAAATGAGATTGTATACAATACTTTTCTACATATTGCTTTTTGCACATAAAAACACATTGTGGAAATTTATCCAACCCAATAGGGATAGTTGAGGTCATTCTTTTTAAAGATCACAAATTTTTTCGTAGCAAAACTTTACTCATCTAATTTAGGTATTGGTCATTCATTTTGTTTCCAATTGTTTCTTTATTCTAACATTATTTTTACAACATAAACAATGAGGCTACCAATGCTGTGTTTACCTAGTGGCATTTTCATTTCCTAGTGAGATTCAAGATTCAGGAATTGAAGGGTGTTGTATTTTATTTTAACAGCTGTTTTCAGATTGCTTTCCAAAAATTGCTGCAACATATCCATTCCCACTCTCGATATGTAGGAATACCCTCCTTATGTCTTTGAACTTGAATGTTTCTTAGTACCAAAGTGAAGTGTATTTTTGATAAAAAGGAAAAACTTATGAGAAGACCAAAAGGCACACTTTCCTTTTGACTGTAAATCCACTGTGCACATGAGTCAAACCCAAAAATTTCCATAGTTTTATAAATGATCTTGACCCTCATAAAATCTGTCATTTAAAACTTTCAACAATGCAGGAAATTTCTGAAAATATTATTTACTAACACTACCTTTTGGAACTGTTTTTTAAAGTTATGTAATAAAAATAACCTTAAGATACAATTCTGAAATACTAGAAAGTGCTAATGAACCTGATCTCTTTTATTTCTTTGTCATTAAGTCTAATGCGACTCTGAGACAGCTGGCAGAATTAAGAGAAAAATCTCAAGAGTGGGTGGATAAGTCACCAATTGTCATGAATTCCTTCTATCTGATGAACCAAGCAATTCCAATGCTTCAGGTATGAGATAGTTCTGTCATTCACCTTAATAAGAATTATAATTCTTTGATATTTTAATTGCCTTTATTATGTGAAGGGGCTGAGAGTAACTTAACATCTGCTTTTAACATATTAAAATTGCCTCTTCTCAAGAATGGAGGTCTGAGACAGGATAACAGACCTGCCGTACACAGTACATGAAGTTACCTTACCTTGTTTTATACTTCCTCTACCTGAAATTCAGAGTGAAGACACTTTAGAAATTTGTCTACAAATAGTGATGTAAACTGGTTTTTCAAGAGTAAAATGCTATAAAAATACAAATTATGATTTTCTGTCTTAATTGAACTAGAACTCCTAAAATACCAATACTTTGGAGAACATGAAATTTAGGGAGTTCTTGAGTTGAAACATATCACACATATATTAACAAATTCTAAAATCTTTTAAAATCTTTTAAACATATTATGTACAAGGTGTTCATGTTAAAATAGTTATCTAAGTGTTATCTAAGGCCAGGTAATTAAGCAAAAGTGGTTATACCTAGCGAATACTCTCGTAAATTGCCCCTTTAAAGTATTTCACTGGGATTCAAACAATCCTCATGCTCACTCTAGTATAGGTTAAAGATTTGACATTGCTACTGAAAATATAATGCACATTGGTTAAAAAGTGTAACTTGGTATTCTTGTAAAAGATACAGGAATTTCTAAAGATAATGCAAATAAAGTAGGGACATGTTTCAATCACGAAGAGCCATTGACAATTAAAGATGGAGCTGCAGAGCTAGTCCAGTTATCACTTAGGAAAGAAAATTGGCAGGAAACAATATAGGAGCTTCAAAGGGGAATGGCTTGCATATCAAAGAGAAGCCCTTGAATGTTTTTGCCAAAAAAGCTCTTTTTTATCATAATGCTGAGGAAGTTAAACATAGAAATACAACTTGAATCATACAACTTTGTAAGAAAAATTATACCCAAATGAGGCTTTCCTTAGTATTTGTTTTGATTAAAAATGAGTGTACAGTTATCATTACAACCTGAATTTTATTATAAATTATAGAATAAACATAAAAATGAACTTTACCAGTTTATTGTGTTCATTAAAATATAAAGTGAAATAAATTTTCATCAAATATCTTCCCCACAATTTACTATTAAATTTTGGTTTTAAGTACAAACATGTTCATTTTAAGTATCTTTTCTAGTGACTCTCAGCAAAGGCTTCTTTGATCAAATTTTATTGATATGTATATGTATTTTTCCTAAGTGGAAGATTACTCTTTTCTCCTAAAACTTTCTTTTCTGTGAAGAGAAAAGGAAACTACATATTATTTTATTAAGGAAATTCGTGTTAGCCAATGTGGTGAATGAACAAAGGATGTGACATGGTCTATACATAATGATTCCAAAATGCAATCATTTGTTAGAATCTCTGTGACCATGTTCATAGATGGATCATTATCTCATGGAAGTACCTTTATTCTGTCCTGGACAAAATAAAAGTTGTTGTTGTCAATTATTGAGGAAAAACCCAATTCTGTAAATACGATGTCTAGGTACTTTCTCATTGTTGACACAAAATACCTGACATCCAAAGTTAAAGGAGGAAAAGTTTATGGTAGCTCACAGTTTGTAGAGGTATCAGTTCACGGTTGGCTGGTTCCAAGGTAAAATAATGTGAAAAGGAGAAACAGTTCATGGCAGGCAGAAGGCAGCATGGCACCAACCAGTAAAGTAGTGAAGCAGCAAGTGGTGGCTGCAGCTCTCTTTCTGTCCTTTAAATTTTATCCAGGATACATGCTCTTAGGGCAGGTAGCACTCATACCTAGAGTGGGCCTTCCCATTACGTACACTCAGAACTATGCCAAACCAATCAGTGGAGTAATTTAGTAATCATACACCTTTCATCCCAGCATCACACACTCTAGATCCAGCCACTTCTGACCACCTGACCACATGAGGCATTGGGGGGACATCTAGACACAAGTCATAACATATGCACACAACTTGACATTTTAAGCTTTTAGCACAAGGGCTGGCCACTGTGAATTCTTGGGCAAATGTATTAAAGTATTTGAGCTATGGTTTATGAGTTTCTAAAATGGTATTTGGATAACCACTTCACAAACCTGTGAAGATCATTTGTGTGTAGAGCATTTGAAAATAGCATCAAACGAGTGGTGGGAGAATGGAAATAATATTTGAATTATAACTAATATAGTCCTTTCCGTGTTACTAATCCTCTGATTTGGATTTCCTATGATGCACAAGTAATTTCTTGGTAAATAGATTTTAAAAGATTCTATTATCACAGCATGTAGCTACATGATAGCCATGTAAGTACTACCACCTTCTTTTAGAATGTTCAACAACCATGAATTAAGCAAATTAATTCTATTATCTATTTGTTGCAATAATATTGTTATTCTTAGTCACTTATATCCATGATGATTAGAACAAAAATTAGTGGTATGAAGAATAGAATAGTGCCACCAGCCTGTGCTCTAAAAGATCAACCAATATAAGGATACTTCACATTAAAACTATGCCATGAATTAACATAAGAAAAAGAAATATTCCTCTAATTAAGTTGCAATTTCTCCTTCAACTTTCTGCTTGACCTTTAGTAATTGTGTTTCCTTAGAGGAGCTAGGATATCTTCTTTAACCCTGACTTTGCTGTCTATTAACTACAGAGAATAATAGAACAGGACTGGGGATGTAGGTCAGTTGTAGAGTTTATGCTTAGCATGAACAAGGCCCTGGGTTCAGTCTTCAGCACCCTCTGCCCAAAGCCTGGAGTAGTGACACCTGCCTATAATTCCAGCTCATGGGGAAGCTATAGAAGGAGGAATCAAGGTTCTATCCCAGTTTGGGCAATTTCACAACTTACCATGACCCTTTCTCAAAATAAGCTGGGAAGGCCCTGGATTTAATCCCCAGTACTATAAAACAATATTATAACAATGTACATTGACTTTTCTGATGAGATGAGTGATTCTCCCTATTTTACAGAAAGGTAACTTAGAGCTGAAAAGTGCTTGCTGAAAGCCTCACAGTTAGGAAGTAATACCCTGAATACAAATCAGTCGTAATGTCAGACTCCATGTAGATGTTATGATTATTTTTAATGAAGTTTATTGGTAAGGATGTAATGATTTTTAAAAGCTGTTTTTATTTGTTTCAGTACAACACAATTCAAACATGAACCACAACATTGTTTATACAGTATATGTTAAAAAGAAATAATATAATAGTTATGAGGAAAGAGACTGTTAAATTGCATATAATTTGCTAATATTGATAGGTATGGTTTCTCTGGCCACTTTAAAGTGCTAATCAACTTGTGTCTGTATCAACAAAAGCCCAATTTTTTTTTTTTTTTTTTTTTTTTTTGGTACCAGAGATCGAACTCGGGTCCTTGAGCCTGCGCCGCAGGCGGCGAAACCACTGAGCTAAACCCCTGGCCCCAAAAGGCCAATCTTTTAAGTCATTGCCAGCCACCTTTCTCCTCTTTCTTGCTCAGTAGTTTGAAAGTGAGCCTTTGTGAGGAGTATTGATAATGCCTAGCGGTGTTCATTTTACTGTAGTTGATTTTTAGAGAGACCATAATTAAATGTTTTCTTCTTGCATTGAAACTGATTGTCTATTATTATTTATTAGAATACTCTAAAAAATCCCTTTGTGCAAGTGTTTGTAAAGTTCTCCGTGGGACTTGACGCTGTTGAACTACTGAAACAGATAGAAGAACTTGGTGAGTCCCAATGCACTATATTTTTATTCACCAGTCCTGTCAGAAAAGCAAAAAAAAAAAAAAAAAAAACGAAAATAAAACCAGTTCCACGTGGGATCATTTTTTCCTTGTCTTCTGCATTTAGTTTCTAACCAGTTATTCAAATAAAAGTGAGACCCCAGATATATCCTTCCATCTTCTTGCAGTTACTTACAATTGCAAGCAGTAATGATTAAATACTCACTATCCAGTGTGCTTCAGTAATTATATTGCAACATATTCTGTGTAAATGCAGCCTTTTCTTTCATCACAGATAGGCTGTTAGATATAAGGGAGTATTTTTTTTTTTGTTTTGATAACTTGAAAAGCAAGTCCTTGAGGACACAAAGGGCTAAAATGATTTATTTTTGGTTTCATTTACATTTTATCTCCACTGGCCTCTGGATCCCTTGACTAACCCAGAATGTAATTGGAAGTGGTTATAGAGTTAGCAAAACCAAGACAAAGGCAATGTGGAGAAAATAAACCTAAATCAGTATTCAAGGTTGGGTTTTCCTCTCATGGTCATTTAAAAGGAACAGGCTACAGAGGATCAAAGGAAGCTGTCTGAACTTACGCATTGCCTCTGCCACAACCCCACCTTCAACCTAAAGGATGCAAGACATCTAATTCAGGCTGTGTCTGATTCACTGTTGCTATGCAACCACAAGTATCAGGAAGGGATTGAAAGCATCAGAATTTGGCAGTAGCTCGTTCTCCCTACTATTGCTGGGATGTAAATGACTTAGTAATCCATGGGAGAATATATATTTATATGGTATATAATTATATGCTCTCTACGACAGTCAACCCAGTTTGATTAAAGGAAGGTATGAGTGGATTTATTTTCTATAAGTATGATTTGTGTAAGGCACCATGTGCTAAAAATACCAGGAATAAACTACAAAGTTCTCATATAAATTCTATCAGTCCTAACTTGTAAAAGAAGATTAAAATAAATATAACAATGGGACTTATATTGTAATTATATGTGTAACTTAGAATCTAAGAGATTATATACTTTGAGTTTGGGGAGTACTGACCCCCCCCATCCATTTCTTTGATTCTGTCTACCAGAACTTCTAAAGAATGCTTTGATATGTTGATTTCCAACCACAATTTGCCCCTCCCCCATCAGCATCTACAACAAGTAAGACATTTCTCTTTAATTTCTAATGAGAAATGCATTTAAGAAGTTACCTTCTGTAAGAAAATTAGTCTTATTTTGGATGATGTAAAAGACATGTTTGGTTCTGTGAGGAGGGATTTATGATATTTTTAGCTTTCTCAGTATTCATGATGATCAAGTTAGTAAAAATTTAATAGGACAAATAATTTGTTATCTTGAAATTTCATATTTGCCCTTTGTTTTGGCTGATTTCCTCACAAGGAATCATGATACTGAAGAGGAATTAAGTCCTCTTTCTTACAGAGTAATTACCTAAAATAAAATCTTGATCATTTTATCAATATAGCTAACTCATCTCAGATTTTAAATAAAACAATATTAGAAAGTTGCAATGGTAGATCCTCAAGGGTTTTAAGTGTTTCTGTGCCACAGTTTAAGCAATGATATAGTTTATTGGCTCTACACATACTGCATAGACTTTCCTTTGTTTCAACTTATACAGTTACATTTCTTGCACAAAGTAGACATTTCTGTTCATTTTAAACTCATTTTTAATTTGTAGTGTTCCTTCTAACTATATGTATAGAATTTTTAAAAATGTAGTCACTCTTAATTCCTTGTTAAATAAATTGTAGCAATATACGTTAAATGATCTTCTATCTTACTTATTTTAAAATTTTCTTTATTAATGCATGTTTGCAGTACATAATGACTACATTTATTATGGGATGTTGGTCTTAATTCATTTTTCATCTCCTACCCTTCCATTCTCCCCTGTTCCTTCTACCCAGTGGTCCCCTTCCCATTTATAAAAGTTCTATTTCCACTTTTTTCTTTCAACTTTTTTCTTCATCCCCTTTCCCTCCACTCCTTCTCTGCATTTGAAGAAGATCTCTTGTTTCCCTTCACATTTAAAGATCTCCTTACTTGCTACTATCTATCTTTTATGGTATCTGACTTTGAACCAGGACTTACTATATTTGTCTGTAATCTCAATATTGTCCTAAATGAATACTCACAGAATTGGACACATTTACCTTGGTATGGAATACTAGATATTTTTAGAATAAATTTTACTGCATCTCATTATTTATAATATTGTTTAACTTTTAACATTTGCCAAAAATACCAGCATTTTGTCTCATTATACTATTTTTTATCTCCTTTACTTTGTTTCTTAGACACTCTCAGGATGACATTAAAAAACAACATTGACGTCATTGATCAGCTTAACACACTGTCTTCTCTGACAGTAAATATTTCCTCTTGTGTATTGTATGACCGTATTCAGCCAGCAGAAACCATAGATGAAATGGAGAGAGAAGCTAAAAGGCTCTACAAAAGCAATGAGCTCTTTGGAAGTAAGTGCTATTCTATTAGGACTTGGGCTTCTTTTTGTACAAAAATTGGCCAAATTCTTTTTTTTTAACCTTTTTCATACAGAACTCAGAAAAGTAGTACAGAGGCCATTACCCTCTCTGATGTTCTTACAAATGAGAACCTTTCATGTAGTCAACCACCCATGTTGTCTAAGTATGAGGAGGCTTCAACATATGTCTAATTTCACTGGTGTAGTTCAAATTAAAATGAAAAGGATTTTATAGTTAAAAGGTGAAATCATCCTCACAATCAGTCAAAATTATTCATTTAAAAGTAGGGTTTTAAAAATTTTTAATAAGTAGTGTACAGTGAAGTAGTTAATTTAGCCATTGAGTTATGTGATTATATTCTTTAGCTCCAGCTTTGACTCTTTGAGATTGACACCTCCAATTAACTATGTTTTCTGTAAATCAGGAGCCTGAACCTTCTGTGGCACTGCTAACTCAATTGACTCTTAGGCTTCCTCTTATGTGTACGCTCTGAACAATGAATAATGTCACTCATAAAATAACCCCGCTATTGTTGCTATTTTATTTTTAGGTGTTATTTTTAAGCTCCCTTCTAATAGAAGCTGGCACAGAGGCTATGACTCTGACAATGTCTCTCTTCCTCCTGTTGTGAAATATACCATCCGCATGAGTCTGAAGACTGCCCAGACAACAAGAAGCATAAGAACCAAGATTTGGGCTCCGGGTCCCCACAACTCTCCATCACACAACCAGATCTATGGCAGGGCTTTTGTTTATTTACAGGACAGTATTGAAAGAGCAATCATTGAATTGCAAACAGGAAGAAATTCACAGGAAATAGCTGTCCAGGTTCAAGCAGTTCCTTATCCCTGCTATATGAAAGACAAGTAAGTTTGCACGTTTGTACCCCCTATTAATGAACAACCACTGTTTTTGAGAACTCACTCTTGTCCATTCATTTAGACATCATAAATGCAAGAGGAAGTACTCACCAAAACTTTGTCATATGCTTAGAATCTAAAATGGTAATGCCTGAATTTCTTTAAAGAATTTAAGTAATGGCATTCTGCACTTTTTATAGGAATATAATTATAAGGCTTATGTATACATATAAATATTGTGTTCTGTATGAAATGTTTTATTTTATTTGTTCTACCCAACAAACTTCATAAAACTATGAGAGAGCAGATCTTATTATCCATACTTCCAAAATGAAAGTGAAATCTAGGAAAGCTAAATAACTTAATTAAGACCCAAAGCTGATACTGCACTGGTCCTTCCCATTGTAAGATGAACATTTTCTTCTTAAGCCTGGATAAAATGTAAAAAGCACAATTGCTTAGAAGAAGCATTACAGAATTGTTACTAATGAGTGAGGGCTTTCCCTAATTCTGAGCCAGAAATGCATCAAGACTGGCCCTGGTCCAAAAGGAAATTCATTTGACAAATGTTTATAAATGCCTACCTCATACCAGTTTCAGAGGAAACAAACAAACAAACAAACAAACAAAAAGGGATATGGTCCAAGTCCCACTGCCCTCCTACCACAAAGAACCTCATCTCTCTGATGGTTATATGTTTCTCCATGATACAATGACAATGAATGATTGTGATATCATGTTCCATTAATATCTGCATTTTTCTTGGGAAATTTAGAGGTAATTCTTCAGGCTTGTGGATTACAAAGGAAATGGCCATGGGTCCTTTCTCCAACTAAATGCTTCTGTGGAGCCCCAGATGCAAAACAGAGTAATGCAGAGTTTCATTGAAAGCTAAGGCCTTAGCATCAGCTTTTGGAGCGGCTGTGATTGTCAGATCCATGGCTTCCTGACCCAGCCACTGTAGCAGCACCTGGGAGGTTGTTTAAAAAGCAAATTCATGGCCTTATCCCAGATGTAATTAATTAGAAGCTTATAGATGGTGCCCAGATATTTGTTTTAATACATTTGTGAGGTGCTTCTGATGCACGGTCAGCCTTGAGAATCACTTTGTCTGAACTTTCAGGCATCATGGGCTGACCACTCAGGAATATTTTGGGCCTTGATGAGGTCTTCCAGTTACCCTCTACTTTCTAGCACATTACCAGAAAAAGACATTTCTGTATCACGTATAAAACAGCTTCTTGAATTCCTCTGGGGAATCCAGGTTTTTTTGTCTGCATTTTAAATTAAATGCTTTGTATTTCATTTTATTTCATTTTGGGAAACTTAGCTTAATAATAACTATGAGCTTCCTAAGAGTAGATAAATACAGTAATTTTGGAAGATATAGCTTACAGTTAGGTAAATAGATTATCACCTAATATAAATCTGCCTTTCAGATAAGAATTTAGTTTAGATAAGAGAGTTTTGAGCTTTGTATCTATATAATAATTATTTTCTCCGACAAGATGTTCTCAAACACATTTTAAACAACACAGTAATTTTATCTAACAATCCAGAGCTATGTTTTCAGTCTTAAAACATTACAGCAAGAAAATTATGAGCCACTGTTAAGTTAGCTTCCCACTTCATAAATATTAGGGTAATTTTGATAATTATTCTCAATGTCCAAACAGGGGTATAATTTCAATATAAGGGGAAATATTGCTTTATATACATATAAGGATCCAAAAGAATGACGTTTATTATGGTCACTTTTTTTTTTTTTTTTTACAGCTTCTTAACCAGTGTCTCTTATTCTCTTCCAATTGTACTCATGGTTGCCTGGGTTGTATTTATAGCTGTTTTTGTAAAAAAGCTTGTTTATGAGAAAGACCTCCGGCTTCATGAGGTATGTTAAAAATCTTTTCCTATTATGACTACATACTATTAATAGAACCGTTAATTATTATGATGTTCATCATGGCTATCCAAACATAGAAAGCCTAACCAATACCTTGTGAATTAGATAGAAAGACAAACATTTTACAGATCACAAAGGCAGCTTTATTTCATTTCCTCATAAAAGACATAAAAGTAATTTAATAAGTCCTTCTGAAAAGCAAAATCTGAATAATCCTGAATAAAATATGAGTATAATTATCCTAACAATAGTTTTGTGCCCATGAAATTATCTATAGAATAAAAGATCTAACAAAAGTAGTTTAAATAATAACAGTAATAACTATTAAGGCAGAAAGATCCTTAGCATAGTAACCAAGCAAGTATAAATGTAGATATAGCTACAGACATAGATGTAGATACAGACATGTAGCTTATTTCAGCTTCCAAGAAGAAAATTCTCTTCCCCATATATCTTGTCTCCTTCAATTGGATTCTCAATTTCCCAGTGACTCCTAATTTATAGAATTGAAGAACTTCATGTTATGCTAGTGATTGGGTTAATAATGCTATAACGATGGATGCCACACAAGAACCAGGAGTGTAAAAATAATCTGTCTTTGGGCATGTTCTTTATCATTAACCTCAAATCCAAAAAATCTTACTTCTTTTCAGAGCAGCATTGTGTAGTTTTAGATTATATTTGAATAGAAATTATTTTATCTGCTCATCCCATAATGAGACCATTCTTATACTCTCTTATGGTGTAGGAAGAAAGCTGAACGAAACATTTCAAAACTAGGGCACAATAATTATTGCAAGACTTGGCTGAGAAAGAGAAATAATGAGGTTAGAATAACCTGTTAGTCCACTTGTACTTTTCAGACGTACCCAATTCTTTTAGGCAGTGACTATTTCTCTTTGCAAGGCAAAAGATGCTGCTTCATATTTCTGTTGGTTCAGCAGCAAGCTTTCAGGGTTGTTGCAGTGTTTGAATCTACATTTCTTACCTTTCCTATTTAAATTCTAGTTGATCTTCATAGCCACATTTTTATATCTCAGTTACAATTTGGTAAATGTCTCCATTAGTTTGAACCCTGCTGTATTCAGGACTATGCAATGGTTTCCTAACTCCAGTTCAGAAACTTGAATCCATTCCCGGGTCCCTAATTTGGTTGCAAGCTCCTGTCTTATAGATTTTTTTTCAGGTTCTTGCTACCTAGAAGTGAATCATCAAGGATGAAAAGAAAACTTTGAAGTAGAAAACTGTAATAGAATTTTAGTTCTTTTCTACTTCAAAATAAACATTTACCTAAAAAATGTAACTTGTGATACAATCAGTAAACATAACTATACATGTGTGTCTATATACTTATATAAGCACATATAATTTATATATGTTTGTTTCTATAGTTCATACATATTGCGTTATCTTGTGTTATAATATAGTGCTCTTTGAATGCATTTATGCATGTCACCAAAAATTACTAAAGCATAATGATGTCCTTTCTCAATCTTAGAGATATGAAAGGAAGATATTTTTGTCAATGAACCAGTTTCTGTTTGCTAGCTCCGTGTCTGCATTTCTTAGGCATCCACTTACAAATTTTAACTATCTAGTCTTGGAGTCAAAGTCACATAGTGGGAAAACTATGGAATTTAGAGTTAGCAGGATTTGTATCTTATAGTTCTACCAACATATGCCCTTAGGCCCAGTCCCTTAAACTCCCTGAGTCTTCTTTATCTAGAGTTCATTACATTTGGCATAATATTTCCAGGATGCATATCTCTCAGAAGAAAGAAGGCACTCAGTTACACGTATTATCCATATTGTATCAATTTTAAGATACTTTTTTAAAAGGCCTCTGAAATTAGGATTCATGTGATAGACTGTCACGATTTAGTTGGCAGTGATTTTTCTTTCTCAGTGGTGTATAAAATAGTGGCATATCTTAAAATCAACAGTTTTCTAAATTCAAAAGAGGACAGTGTATTTGTGAAATGAATTGATGGAAGTAGTAGGTGTGGCATAAATGGAATGTCCCCAGTGCTTACTGCTCAGTCTTTCTCTGTGCCCACAGTTCACATCTAACCTCCTTCTCAAAGATGAAAAAACTGAGCACAGACAGTGACAGGTGAACCTACTGAGGACTATGTATTAGGTGAATGTTTGAATTGAACTTCAGTATCTTGACATTCAATTGATCCTTCACTTTTATAATCCTATTATAATATCATAAGACTTTTAAGGACTTTGGAGGACGATAATAGATAATCTCCTAGTTTACCAGAGGTTCAAAATCACTTTTTAATACTATTATTTTATATTCAGTTATTATAAATCTGTCCATTTTCTTCTTCCTTCTCATTCAAATTAAGCCAAAAAGGTAAAGAAAATCAATATCTATTTCTTTCTTTCTGTAATTATTCTAAAAGCTGGGCAAGAAAATCAAGTTGGTTGCTATCTCAACGAAGCCATTAATCTTTGACTGTGCTATATTATGACACTAGTGAATCTCTTTGACTTTGAAATTAACGCAAATACTGATGGATAATAAGTGTGTTTTTTGAAATTAAGCCTGTAGTTAAAAAAAAAACTATTTTAAGATGCCTTTCAAGTGAATTTTGGTCTCTGTTCTTTGCTTTAAAATTCTGAAATGCTGATTTTTATAACATACAGGGAAAATGATTCCCTATCATTTTCATGTTTTAGGGGTTCACTTCATATATTAGATCTAATAGCCTAGTCATGCGGGGGGGGGGGGGTTCATGCTAGTAGTCAATTGAAAGCAGGATTTTGGAACTGTTCTCTCAGCTCAGACAAGTGACCAAAGATATATGTGGGCTGTTACCAAGAATTATGCAAGGATTTTTAGTTCTTTGTAGCTTCACATTAAACAACTTTTTATGCTTTCCTAACATACACTATCCATACCACTAGGGGAAATGTGGAACATTCCAAATAATGGTCACAATACCTTACAAAAAAACCAGTAATACAAATATCTATGGTTAAGAGAATTTTAAAGATTGAAGTAGAAAATGCCATTATTCCTTGTGTATTAGTACTTGCCCTACCTGTTGAGTTGAATGACAACATTGTTGTCAAGCAAATATGTGAATATTTATGACATTTCCTGTATTAATATCCTCTCTGTGCATATACCTCTCATGAATGTGGCAACTCATTCATCCAAAGTCTTATAGAATCTCATTCTTACAATTTCCTGCTGTAAACTAGGCCTGACTTTGACCACTGTGCAGAGAGGTTTTCCTTGTGCAACCAGTTATCAGATGCTGATGAATTGCTCAGGCAGGTTTGGGAGGCTCGGGACAAGTGATTCTTTGATTGCAAAACTGGCACCTGACATCTGTCACTTTGAGAAGGAACTAATGGCATCTGAGAAAGCACAGCCAGCCATTCTCTGTGGGCCTCTACCATCAGCGAGTTTGGTCTTGTTTGTACCTGCAAAGTTGGCAGTAAATCTGTATAATTTATGGATGACTCCGATGCTCTCATTGCACTCTCTCTCTCTCTCTCTCTCTCTCTCTCTCTCTCTCTCTCTGTAATAGGACCTGTTCTCATAGCGTGAGATCCTAAAGATTAACACAGAAATTTCATGCTACAGTGTGAAGTAGTATTTCTGCAAGCACCTAACTCAGATTGTTGCAATAGAGCGAAATGATCAGTTTCCAATTTTTATCAGTTCTTAGAAATAGAAATTCCATCTGAGCCTCAAAAATTTCAAAAGTACAGCAATAAACACTTTTAGTCCTGGTCTTTAAGCTAGCTAAATTAACTTTTAACAAGTCTATGAAGAGGGACTATTCTAGATATACATATGTTGTATTCTGCTGCTGTCAACCTTCAGGAAAGAAAAACATGTTTACACCCATGGTATCAGCTTTATTTCATGGCCTTTGTACATCCTAGATACTTGATTTTCACCTTGTGAAATCTACTGACATTCTCTCCTGTGATGTACTTTGCAGCTAGCAAGTGGTCTTTTTTATAGGTCACAAAAATTAAGTGGTGTAGTATATGGGTCCATATGACCCTATTTAATTACATTCAAGCACCTATAATTCAGTAAAAACTTCAAAATACAAATAGCAGGAAAGGCAAATAAAGAGCTAATTTATCATAATCGTATTTGAAGTGATACATATCTCTGAATTGTAGTTATCAAACATGACACAATGATTTTCAGAAACTGGGTGGGGAATAGGGATGGAATCTCTGGAATAAGAGTTATGAGATCATTTTTCACATCAAAATGTAATCTTGTTTTCAATAATAGCAAATGAAGTAATTGGGGGCAATCTTTCCATAGTGAATCTTTATTTTATGCACATTTTTTTACTTTGACCTGCACTTTCATTTCTGTGGAAATATACACTGAACCTTTATTGCAAAGGGAGACAGCTGAGGAGGAGAAAGCAGTAGGGAAAGAAGGTTAGGAAGAGGGTAAAGTTAAGAGGAAAAGTCACAGGTTTTTTCTCAGTGGTGATTAGTATAAGGCCCACAGCTTAGACTGTTGGCAGTCAGGTAGCTGTCTCCATGGTAACAAGAGTAGGAGAGTTATCAAAATGTGATAAGTTGCAAAAAGAAGAAGAAGAAAGTAAAATCACTATTTTTGCTTGTAGAGTAAAAGACCTAGCACATTCACTGCTGCTATTGTTATTTTTCTAAACAAATTAGAATTAAAGGAGCCTTGAAAAATCCTTGATTTTGAAAAAAAAAAAAACCCTACATTGTATTAGAAAGCTGTTAGTGGAGAATTTCTTGTGTTCTTTTAGGAAAAGGAACATTGGATTCATAAATTTAACATTAATCATGAATTGTTAAACTAGAAACCAGGTTATTCACATACCTCCAAGTTACCAGGTGTTACCAAATTTAAGACAATCCAGGTCCAAGGGTTTTTAGTCCATCCAGAATCTTTTGTATTAGTACATAAATAGATCTTGCTGCTTTATCTTTCTATGTTGGTGCCTTGGCCCTGGGGTGTGTCACCAAGTTATGTGAATTGAGAGGAAGACCTAGAGTATCTCAGATACCTGAGTTCAATTCAGTTGTACCAATGTCTTTGGAAAACATGGATGGCAAACCTGAATTAGAGTGCCTGTGAATGTTAAGAATGGTGAGGTCCTGGCTAAAGGCAGAGGGTCTCCTTTCAAAGCTTCCATGTTTTAAATTCTTAGGAAGTTCAATTCTAATTCTATTATATTCTACTTCTCTCAGGAACACAAACAATAATTGTCTTGTTCATTAATGTTTAGTTTAAAAAACCCAAATTACAGGTTTTTATTATCTTAATCCCTACATTGAACTTAAAGTTAAACTATGTATAGTTTTTCACCAGCTTGAAATACCCATGCCCGCAAAAATGTCAATTTCATGTTGTGAAATTCTGCAGGGAACACAATAAATTTGATGATCTCTTCTAAATTAGTGTAATATGAATGTAGAGGGTACATACCAGTTAAAAAACAGAATTATAACATTTTTCTTTTTTGGTGCTGGGAGACAAAGTCAAGACTTCCAGCATGCTAGGCAAGTGCTCTGCCATTAAGCTACATCCCCAGCCCTAGAGTTGAAATTTTAAAAAAAAGACTCACCATTGAAATCATTCATGCTGTTGGGGAATGATGGAAGCCCCAATATGGGCTGATATAGATAGTCATATTTCATATAGCAAGCATGAACAAATACTTGATTTATATAAATCATTAAAATGGCTGATTCCATATATATATATATA